CAGATTGATCCTTATGATCCATTCCCTGTTTCTCCCCCCACCCACCTAGTCCTCCTGGTATCTCTACTCTCCTTGTTGGCCCTTAGGGGTTGATCTATCCTGGATTTCCTATGTTGCGGGCTCTTATCTGTAGCAGTGTACATGCTCTCTTCTAATCTGATTTGTAAGGTAGAATTGAGATCATGATAGTGGGGTGAAGGAAGCACCAAAGAGCTAGAGGAAAGTTGTGTGTTTAATCGGTGATATACTGCACCCTGATTGGCTCTTCTCTTCTCTGTGACCCTTCTGTGAGGGGATGTTCAATTGTCTACAGATGGGCATTGGGTCTCCACTCCATGCCCCACCTCATTCACATTGGGCATGGTTTTATTCTGGGTCTTAGATGCCTGATACCTGATCTCATTGACACCTCATGATCACACAGGCTGGTGTGCTTCTTCCATGTGGCCTTTGTTGCTTCTGAGCTAGATGGCTGTTTGTTTATCTTCAAGCCTTTAAGACCCAAGACAATATATCTTTTGATATATGAGCACTACCAGCTTTCTTCACCACATTTACTTATGCACCCATTTTGTCTTCAGTGATCACATCAGGAAGGTGAGCATCATAGAATGCCGAATTGTTAGAACAAAGAATTCTTGTGTTAAGAGAGTACTTGAGTTGAGGCCCAATGTCCATCTGCAACCTTAATTCTTAACATACAGATATGAGTATGTAGTTCTATTCCCCTCTCATTATATATATATATATATATTTACATGCTTATGTTTAGGCCTCTATAAATGTCTTTTGACTCCTGGCCCTTTCCTCTATTTCTTTTTCACTTCCCTCTTGTCCCACCATCATGTTCAGCCTTCATTCGGTTTTAGTGCTACTCCATTGCCCTTGATTGAGGCCCACTAGGCATCCTACGACCTCCCTTCCATTAATTTTAGTTCACTTGTTGTTCCCTTGTCCCTGGGTTGCCCCCCCTCCCCCATTTAATTTCTCCCACCTCCCATATCTCCCCAGAACCATTGGTCCCATTCTTTCCATCTCCGAATTATTTATCCTGCCTATCTTATTTAGATAGGCATACAGATACATTAATAAGTACAAAAACCAGGCAAAGCCAAATAAAACAACAAGGGAAGTCAAAACCAACAAAACAATAACAATAATATCAGAAAGCAAGAACAAAATAACAATAACAAAACGAAAGCCACTGACAAACATGGAAAAGCCTGTAAATAGTTCAAGGTCTGCTTGTTGGCCTTTACGAGTGTTTTCCAGTCAAGTCTGATGGGGTGTCACACTCTGTCTGCCAAGTCTATTTTGGGTATTCCCTGGGGGTTTCATCAGTCTGTTCCTCCTGCTGCTCTGCTGCATACTCTCGGTGCCTCATCCCAGCGTGATGGGGCCAGATCATGCACTTTTTCCAGACTGTGTCTCTAGTGCTGTCCCCCGAAGTGCTATGATTCAATGAGGAACGCCATGTCCTGTGGTTGGGCCAGCCCCACGGATCTCCCTATGAGTTGTCTGCTCTGAGCAGGAACATTGTCCTTGGGGCTCGGTGGGTCAGGAGGGCCAGTGATGGCTTATTTTTTATTGAATTAATTGATCTTCCTTCATATATTTAGCATAGATATTCTACCAGTAATTATTCCCACACACCCAAAATTTTAATTTTGAAATTCTGATTGCAGAAAGAGAAAAACATTGTGATGATTATGTAGGAAGTACAAGAACCTCCACACCCAACCCTCTTATCTATGTATATATAATTCAGAATGAAAGATCAACTTAATCACTTGTTAACACTGACTAAAATCATTATAAACCCCAAACCCATGGCAGTAGCCACTCATAGGGACCCTATGTAGAGTTTCAAAGGCTATAAATTTTGACAGGAGTAGACAGCCCTATCCTTCCTCCTTAGAGTGGCTGATGAGTTTGAATGCTACACTTGTGGTTAGCAACTCAATGTCTAACCACAATTCCACTCAAAAAGGAATTTTTTGAGTTGGCCATAGATCTTGTGCCAACTCATAGTGACCCTGCAGGACAAGGTAAAATGTCCCCCATGGGTTTCAGAGACTGTAACTCTTTATGGGAGTAGAAATCCTCATCTGAGTGTCAAGTAGCTAGTGGTTTCAAACTGCAAACCTCGAGGTTAGCAGCACAATGAGTGACCCTCCTCCATCAGGGTTCCTACAATCTCAGTTGGACATCTCAAATCATTCAACCAACTTTTTATATAGTTGGAAGAGACGTGAAATCAAATATCAAGCTATACTAGTTTGGTGTAATATCTCTACAACAAAACCTATATCAAAAGTAAATAAATAAATTTGTCTAACCCACTGTATGAATTCTGTTGCAATTCTTATAGTCATCCTTAGCAACTCATATTAAGAGCAGGCCAGAGCCTTCCCAAAGTGTCCTCACAGAAGTGCAGAAACTTGCCCAGGAATTGTCTCTTCTGCTGAGCAGCTCATTGGAGTCTGGTGTGAATGAAGAAGCGGCGCTGAATGCTCAGCTTTGGAAGGGTTCCTCATTCTTCCCTAGTCTTGTGATTGCAGCGGTTTGGGGATCGATGTCTTCTCAAGGCAATGGGTCACAGGGTCAACTCTACCCTGAGACTCACCAAGAGAGTCACTTAGCAAACAAGAGTTCGTTAGATTTCTTCAAAATATCTTAGCTTTAAAATGCCCCCTGAGGCATTGTTTCCAAGTTTCTTATTTCAAAGGTAGACAAACATGCCAAAAATTCTGGTAGTAATTTAACCCAATTTTCTAATTCACTTAGTGTATTGTCTAGTAGATAAAAGAAAAATTAATTAATTAATTAAAATTAAAAATTAATTAATTAAAAAATCAAGTATAAAACATATGCAGTGTGATATCTGCAATAAAGGAAGATCACTGGGAGCTATGAGTACTAGTACGTAGCTGGGAAATCAGGGAGTACTTTACTGAGAAAATGATATTGGAGTCTGATTTAAAGGGGAAATAAGAGAAGAAGGAACTTTGGTGACATCGTGGGTTATATGTCAGGTTGCTAACCACCAGGTCACCAGCTCTGACTAGACGACAGTGAGTTTGGTTTTGGGAGAGTTTGGAAGGCAAAGTCATCGTGGTGGTGGTGACACTAGAAACATTCCAGGCAATGGGTAGAGCATAAGCAAAGGTCCTGACGGCCGTGCCACAGAATGGGTCATACTGCTCCTGATGCCCAGCCTAGAGATGTCAAATTCTTCTAAACACATGATTCCTATCCTATCTAGAGCCCTGGGTAATACTTTTACTTTAAGTTAACAGGATGTTGTAAGTTGTATTACATACGCAAAGCAAACTAGAGTGGTTGCCAAGCTCCTTTCTGAGCCGTTACTTAGCTTCTGATACAACGTAGTTATATGGATTCATGACAACAAAACAAATGAAACTCACAGAATTCTTTTTGGGAGAGATGTGACTCGAAGTCAGATGTTTCCCCACTAGTTGACCTAGAGTTACTGATTGTTTAGCATTAGGCAAGATGATATTCAGAAATTTGGGGTGGGCTGTTGTCAGAGAACTCATGATATTTAGAATGATGAAAAAGTGTTATGCCCTCAGTGAGATGGGCAAGGCATTCTAAAGAAATGGCACTGAGGTAGCCTGGGGTGACATGTACCTCTGTGAAGACAGAGACTGGCCATCCCTTCAGGAGGAGACTGGCACAGTTCCCAGCCTGATTAGATTTACTCGGGTGTCTGTCCAGACATCTGTCTCTCTTAGAATTCGTTCTTTCTGCCTAGCCATTATGATTCCCCTCAGAAACACGAAGCATTTTCAAATGACCACCTGTGGGGCATTCATGTTTCTCAGCGGTGGAGTGAGATAGGAGTAAAATAAGTTGAGATGATGCTTGGTGTCAGAGTTGTTTCTGACCCTGTACATGAGGGTGCAGGTAGGACTGCTTGCTCACTTTGCTACTGGCTCTCTCCTCTGCGCCTCCCCCCACCTCCATTTTTAAAAGAAATCATGGATTGTTAGAACTAGAAGGCGCTGATGTGACCTTTTCATGTTTTAATTGGTAAAGCTCAGGTCAGGAGCAAGTGAGTGGCTTTTTTAATTACATTATTATAGGTCAGGAACAGGCCTAGGGCTATAAACTATTGCATGGTTGTTTACTATACAAGCTACCTCCTTAAATGGGTATCAAACTAGCACTGTCAGCACTGGCATCTCTCTGAATTTGGATTCAGAATGTGTCAGGAGACAGAGACATTAGGGAGACTCACTACCACTCTCCTTTAAAAGTTTCCCTCGACTACTTTAGACCAAGAAAAGGGGGTGGGTGGGGGTCAGTTTATTACCACAAGCATAGGAAAAAGAACCTCTAAGTATAAGATATTTTGAAAACTGAGTGATGATTTTCTATTAATCTCTGGATATTGTATTCATATTCTCCTCTTCTGTCTCATTTGATCTGCTCCCCTCAGCAGCCCTTAATTTTCACCTGTTTAGGGAAGAATTAGAGTTGATCTCAGTTGGAACATAGTAGTTTTGTGTTTTAAACCGACATTAACCAGAGATATTAAAACAGCCATAAAGAAGTGTCTGACTTTAAAACTACATATCTGCTGTGGACTACTAACTGGGCAGTAATACTTTTTATTGTATTCTAATTGCATTGGAGCACAAGAAAATGCCCATGTAAACAGTAGGTAGGGGCAGGTAAGAAAGTTCAGGGTATAGAACAACTTCTCAAGGTGTGATTACTTGCCCCAGATTGCCTACTGTGCTTATTTAAAATGCAGATGCTCAGCCCCACTTACTGGGAAGTGGTGTTTGCATTTTGGGATACAGGAATAACTTTTCCCTCAATGTCTCAATTTTCCCATCTGTACTCGTCAGATTTTCTCTATGCTCCTTCTACTTCTCAATTTTTTCCTACACTAAGTAAGTCACTGCTCTGAATTTGGAGCCAGTGTAAAGAGGAGAGACAATAATCCCCCGGCTAGCAGGAATACTCACTCTGAGCCCCATGAGGTAGTACAGGACGCTGATGACAGTCATGGGCAGGATGTAGAAGAGAAAGGAGGTGACCTGGATGATGAAGTTGTATATCCACAAGGGCTTGATGACTGTACAGGTGGCCGAGCCCGGGACCAAGGACCCATTGGGGAAGTACTGGAACTTGATACCATGGATGCTGGTGTTAGGCACAGAGAAGAGGACAGAGAAGCCCCAGACCACGGCCAGGATCCTGAGTGCCCGCCGCCGAGTGCTCTCCAGCTTGGCCCGGAACGGGTGGAGAATAGCCACATAGCGCTCCACACTGACCGTGGTGACACTGAGGATGGAAGCAAAGCACACTGTCTCAAAGAGAGCAGTCTTGAAGTAGCAGCCCACGGGTCCAAAGAGGAAGGGGTAGTTATGCCACATCTCATAGACCTCCAGGGGCATTCCGAGGAGCAAGACCAAGAGGTCTGAGACAGCCAGACTGAAGAGGTAGTAGTTGGTGGGTGTCTTCATAGCCTGGTGCCGCAGAATCACCACGCATACCAGGAGATTACCAACGACCCCGACCGCAAAAATCAGCGCATACACCACAGTCACGGGGAGGAAGAGGGGACTGCGCCGGGGTCCGCAGAGGAAGGTCAGGTAGTCCTCTGTGCTGTTCAGGTGGTTCTTGAGTGAATCTTCCAGCTCTTTCTGTTGGAACCATGAACCATTCTCGTGGTTTTCCATCAGTGAATCTCAAGTCTGGAGACTTGGGTCGCCCTTGGTACGAGGAGGCTCTGCCTTGCGCCTAGGCAGAAAGGAAGGAGAAAGCAGTTAGACACAGACTGTGGACGAGGCTGGGAGAGAGTGAGCCTTCAGCATGAAGGTTGGGCTGCACAGATGCTGAGCCCTTTTGAAGAGCCCTCAAGACAGAAGCCCCGCCCCTGCACGGGATGTGAACCAATGAGCGCGTGTTAGACTGCACAGCATGAAGAGGCCCTGCTGTCCTGTGGGTGTGCTGGCTCTGTGAGCAGGGAGCTGAGCCAGAGAAGCAGGCGTTTCTCTGGATTGGAGGGAGATGCTAAAACAGCTCCTACAGACAGTGTGGATCTGAATCTTAAGTAAGGGGTGGAAACCCTGAGCTGTACCTTTTGCAAACTTGTGGAAATCTGGGTGGAAATGTAAATCAAGGTTACAAAGTCGTGGGTAGAAGCGTACATCTCTATTGATCCATGTCCCTTGCACAGCATGACAAAAATGGAACATCAGTAGATTTCTCATGTTATTTTGTTCCATCGGGGATTCCGGTCTCTCTGGGGAAAGCCCAATCAAAGTGACTTTTTGGTTTTGATTTCATCGATAGACTCCAAAGCTTGAAAGAGTATTGCACTTCAGCTAGTCCAGCCTGTCACCAGCCTGCGCGTCAGTCTCTCGTTTCCACTGACGGGAAATACTAAAATCAAGTCAGGTTCACAAGCAGAGAAACCCCGGGAGACCTTCGGAGAGTTAAGCAACCTCTCGGTGACGTCCCTTTTCTTTATCTGTAAATTAGGGACTCATGAAGCCAGTTTTATTCAACAAACCTGTTTTCAAGACTAACGAGGTGCCAGCCACTACTCTACACTTTGGGGAGACACCAGCGAATAAGCAAGAAAGAATGCCTGCCTCCATCAGCCTTTTCTTACTGTAGAGAACTCTGCAGACTAGTAACCTAAGAACAGATATCAGATCATTGGTGCAGTGAAGCACGAGCGTGAATGCTAAGGGGCTCTGCAGAGACAAGGCTAGAGGTGTTCTTTTATCAAGGACGACCAAAGAGGGCTTGCTATGGGTTAAGTTGTGCTCCCAACCTAAGTATGTGTTATAAATCCTAACCCTTATGTTGATCAAAAAGAGGCCATGGTGCCACCATGGTTATTTGGCTGTTAAGTGAGTAGTCAGAGGTTCAAACCTACTGACTGTTCCTTGGGAGAAAGATGTGGCAGCCTGCTTGCATAAAAGCCACAATCTTGGAAGCCCTAGGCAGCAATTCTACTTTTTGTATAGGGCTTCTGTGAATCAAAAGCAACTCTTATCCAATAAGATTTTTTTAATCCTGCTCAATATAACTCTATTTGGAAATAAGGTTTTCTTGGTGGTGTTAATTAGGTCATAACATTGTAGGGTTTGGTTTTCATTCAATACGCTTTGAGAGATGAAAAGACCAGACTAGGTAGTGAACAAGGAAGTAGGGACTGGGGAGGATGGATACCACATGGAGATCACCTAGGAACCGAGGAAGGGACAAGCATGCAGGGACAAGCATGCTCCTCCCGAGTTCATAGACAGAGCTGTTCCTTGGAGGAAACACCAGAATTCATATTCATAGCCTCTAAGACCGTCAGAAAATACATTATTGTTCACTGAAATCATACACTTATGATATTTCTAGTATAGCAGCACTAACAAATTATTTCAGAAGATGTCATTTGGACTAAGATCTGAATTGGGGAAAAATAAGTCATGAAACAGCCCAGAAAAAAGGAACGGCAAGCACCAAGGCCTTGATGTGCTCAGAAACATTGAGAATCTCAATATGAATGGAACTTCAGGAGAGGACAGGGCAGTATGTGTAGGGGCTCAGAATGAAGCGGCAAACACGGACCAGATTATGTGGAGTGTTGTACACTCTGATGAAGAATTTGGATCTTGCTCAAAGTACGGGGGAAAACATGTTACAGGATTTTGGTCAGAAGAATTGAGAGTGGTAAAATTTTAGCAAGAGAAGGGAAGCCAGCCCAGCCTTCCGGGAAAGACTTGGATTATTATAGATATGTAAACAATTTGGAAGGAGACAATCATACCTACTGTACACAGTTGTTGAGAAGATTAAACTAGATTATGTACATAAAGTATTTTATAGATGCTCATCAAGTGTTAATTCCTCTTTCTCTATGCTTAAGTAAACAGAAGACCATTAAAGTAAATTATCTGGTCTAAGAATAATCGATCAGGATGGAGTAGTAGTTTATGCTGCTGTGACAAATGATCCCATGTACCTCAAGGATTTAAAATATTAAAACTTTATTACTCATTTAAGCTACATTTGTCAGCTGGAGGGCTAATTTCAAATTATATTAATTTTGGGATCCATGCTTATGGCCAGATTACTATCTGGAACTGTGCAAAACTTGGCTGGTAATTGTGATAGAGGGAGAGAGAGCGCTGGAAGACCTCAACAGGTAACTTGTTGCTTTGGGTTGTAAGAGTTACATGCCACGTCTGCTCACAGTTCGTTTGCCAGGACTAGTTCCATAGAGCCTGGGGAGTGGGAAATGCCATCCTACCAAGAGCAGAGCAGATGAAGAAACAGGAAAACTTAGTAGTAAACATTCATGATGCTTTTTTGATGGGCAAAATGTCATGGAAAATCCAGGTCTAATGCCCTGTCATTACCAATGAGCTTCAAGGTTGAAATAGCTAATTATAATTTTTAATATGAAATTTTGATGAAATATTAAAAAGTTCAATCATTAGGATAACGTATCTCACTGAGATGGAAAAATATTGAACATTAGAAAAGTGGGAAATACAGATAACAGACCTGGAACTAAGGGATGCTTTTAGAACACATAAGATACCAGATTAATGATCCAAAGGCCTCAAACAGTGTGATGATAAAATAAAATAAAATAAAATGATGTCTACTGAGTGAAAAAGGAATGGAAGCTGGGAAAAGAGACAATAGAGAAGTGATGAAGAAACTAGGCTTCGGAGGAGAGCTGGGCTTCAAATACTGGTTCTGTCTTACACAAGTTGTGTAACCACAAGTGAACTATTTAATGTCTGTGGGTCTATGTCACCCCATCTGAAAAGATGAGCAAAATAAAAATTTAACTAGAGTAAAATAAAAATGTATGAAGTTTAAATAAATAATTTCTTTTAAATATATAATATATAATAATAAGTGTATTATTTAAGTATTTAGTATCTAAGAAAGATATGAAGTCCTAACTATGGTTCCTGTGAATCCACCCTTGTTTGACAAGGGTTTTTCTTTGAAAGTATTATCAATTGTCTTAAGGGTAAGTTCAAATCCCTTCTGAGTATTATTTTATAAAAGGGGAGACCAGAAATGAAACAGTTACACAGGAGCCAGATGCATTTGGTGAAGATTCACCTGCGAGCTGCAGGAGGCTACCAAGGACAGCCCGCAGCAATCAGAAGCTGGGAAAGGAACCCCGAACAGCTCCCTGTTGAGAGCCCTCAGTAGGAACTAGCACTGCCAATTCAGGCTGCTACTGTCCTGCTCTGCAAGGCAAGCTTTAAGTCCAATCACTTTTTGTCATTGCAGCCCTTGGCAACTAATACCGGCAGTGCAGCTGTCTTGGAAGAAGACTCAGAGGAGTAAAGTGAGATGTAAGGCCACCTGCAAATGCTCGACAAGAGGACACATTGAACGCAGCTGAAACTTACTTTGAGTGATATCCAAGGGTAGAAAGAAAACCGATACATAGAAGATTTTGGAAAGTTATTTTTCCCCCATTAAAGGAGGCCCCTTCTAGTGTTTGTAGCTGTTGGAGAATGAAATAGAAGGTTAGTGAAGGAGATTATCCTGGGGCTTGCAGTCATATGCAAGCCTTGATTGCCTAGAGGAAACCCTTGGACCAATATGGTAAGCTCCTCTACCTAACATAATGTCCCAATCATGGCCCTGAGCCCACACTGAGTCCCATCACTAAATGTGATGTATTGATCTGTCACCAAGCATGTTTTTGTGACATTTCTCTTTGACCTTCCATGTCCATTTTAAAGCTATCTCAGCAAACTCTGGGACCCCATTATGCCCTGGGGCTAATGGTCTCCCTCATCTGGATGATATTTCTCTATAGTTGTCTTGTGCTTGTCCTGTTTAAAATTAAATAAATATTCTCTTTTAAAAGGGGGAAAATAGACGGTTAATATCTAGTTGTTAGTTTTTAAGAGATTTCCAAGAATATCAAATAACACACACCAATATGATCAGTGATCACCATAAAATATTATAGATCCACAGTTATTTTGTGGATCTATAAATATGTGTTATTTTGTACCACAGAGTAGAGTACATCAAGAAAACCCTAAAAATGATGCTTGCCTGTGTTTAGGAGTCTACCTATTCCTAGGGAACTTCAGGTCTGGATTGGCAGGGATGTTAGTACAAAGGAATGGGAAGAGAATCAATATTGATTATAAACCTACTATCCACTAGGTGATAGGTGAGGGCCTTCAGAAAGTTCATAGAAATTTGAATGATCAGATAATAGATTTTTTTCTTACAAATTTTTCAAAGTGTTTTCACATGTTATTACATTTGACCATCACCGTGGAACTTTAAGTATTGGTAGCCCAATATTGTAGAAGAGAAAATTGAGGCTTAAAATAACTTGCCTAAGATTATATACCTCAAAAGTAGAGGAGGCAGGGATTGAACTCATGTCAGAATGCCTCCAAACATATGAGTTTTCTGCTTGCCTGTCTTAGTACTATTAGTAAATCTGATTGATTATAGGCTCTGCTTTTTAGGGAGTTTAGCATAATGTTTAAGAACAAAACAAAACAAAACCAACACCCCCCACCCCTCCAAACTTAGTTGAAGATGGTCATTTGGGGGTCATCCTAAGAAGCAGCTCCAGAGAAGAGATGGACAAAAGGAAAAGCTAAGACAATGATGTATCACTGAGCTTACTGTTCCAGCAATGGGGGCTCACTTTCCCTTGGATTTCTGC